AGGAGATTGTTATGAATCCCCTGCTCAACTCAAGTTTTCTTTAACTAACTATGCACTCCATGGAGGATACCAACTTTATTTTGAAAAAAATGATAGAGTAAGGGTTATAGCTAACTGTAGCGGTGGAAGTAGTGAAAGAAAAATACAGTGTCCATTTAAGGTTGCAGCTAGATGGAAGTACAATGAAAAGATGAAAAGACATTCCAGATTAAATTCTATAATGAAATTCATTTGTGTGCTAGGAATTATCACTATGGTTCCGTAGTTACTAGCAATTTGTTAGCTAAGCACTACCTGAAAGATGTAATCATGAAGCCCAAGATGACATTGCTAGAGATGCAAGCATATGTGCTATAAAGGTTTTCAATGAGTGTATCTGTTGGACAATACCAAAGAGCAAGGGCTACTGCAATAGAGATGATAGAAGGGAAGTTAGAAGACCACTATACCAAGGTTTGGGACTATGCAGTTGCAATTAGGTTAATTAATATGGGTATAACTTGCTTGGTGGGGGTAGAAAGTAATTTGGGGTGTAACTATTTCAAGAGGTTTTATGTTGGCTTTAATACTTACAGAGATGGATGGAACAGAGGATGTAGAAGGGTGATAGGACTAGAGGGTAGTTTCTTGAAGGGACATCTAAAGAGGGAGACTTTAACTGCTATTGGGAGGGATGCAGACAACTATGTCTACCCAATATCATGAGCAGTTGTGAATGCTGAGAATAAAAACAATTGGACCTGGTTCATTGAGAATTTAGTAGCCGATTTGGATCTTGGTCCTGACAATGGACTGGTTGTTATCTTAGACCAACACAAGGTACATACAATATATATAAGTATACAATATGTGTATATATATATATATATATAACACTCATTAATTTTACATGTATTGTGTTTGTTTGTTAATTATAGGGACTTCTACAAGCTGTGGCAAACCTACTCATCTATGTTGAGCATATACAATGTTGTAGAAGTAGAGGCTGAGGAAGAAGAAGTGGAAGGAGAAGTTGGAGAAATGGAGGCTGAGGAAGAACAAGTTAAAGAGAGAGAGGTTGGAGCAAGAGTAGTACCCTTGGATCCTGGTTCTTACAATATCCTTTGGGAGAAAAAGAGGATTCCGTCTGAAAGAATTAGGAAATTGAAGCTCAAGAAAGTGGTCCAAGATGCTAATGGTGGTGGTTCTACCAAAACCCCTTGGGTTTTAGATTAAGTAGTTATGTTTAAGGGTTGAATGGGTAGAATGGGCATTACTAAATAAGTTGCCTTTTTTGTAGACATATACTTTTGGTAACAAGCTTCTAATTCATGTCCATAATGTGTGGTAGAATTGGAAGTTTCGTTCTAATTAGGTTACATGGTATGGTAGTGGTTTGTGGGAAGCTTTGTAAAGTACATTCCCCTTTTTGGGCTGTTAACTGACATTGACATTTGGGAAGCTTTGTAAACTACATTGTATGTTGTTAAGTTAGCAATATACGTGCCTTGATCACTATAATTGTTGTTACATTCCATGTTTTGGTTAGTTTGTTAAGTAGGTTGCTATTAAATTTTCAATATTTGGTCATTTTTATACATTTGTATGTGTTAAAGGTATTACCATTAGTAAGACATAATACATTGTTATCATTAAGACATAATAAGTTGTTTTCATTTTCATCTCTTAAAACACCAAAATATTACCATAAACAACGTATGCATCAAGTTACTTCTAACTTGACCAAAATACCCTTACACCTAAACTACTACCACCATTTCCACATGAACCCAACTAATGCCCACAACTTCACAGTGATTTAACCACAACATTGTGAACCATAAACCCCATCACAATCACCACCACCAAAAGCATGACCATCATATGTAGCACCACCTTCAACATGTTTAAAATATCCACTTGAACTGCTTTGTTGTTCTTGGCCTTCTTCGAAAGCTTCAAATCTCCATTCCAAATGATTTATTGTTCTTAGCCTCCTCCAAGTCCATATGGAACTTCCACATAGTTTCCTAGTAGTAAGTGTTTGGCAGCAGTGGATCTAGCCATAAAAAAAATTCACATTTTTTTGGAGTCCTACACAACAACCACTTCTTCTTCATACTGGTTCAACAATAGCGCAAAAACAAGTAGAAAACTTGATATTAATTGATAGTTTGGACACCCCATGAATTTCCTCCATGGATTATCGACAATTTTGGAGATCGAGAATGTCGCAGGTTCATCACAATCGCATCTCAAATCTTCAGACCAACGATTCCTTAAAGCCCATTCTCTGTACCCTTGTGTGTGCGTGTTACAAGAGCTTACCATCTTGCAAGATCGATGTTTGAGAGAAGAATGGAACAAAACCTAGCTAACAACGGACCTCCAATGTTCGTCTTTGCTTTGTAACCTGATGAAACGGTGAAACCAACAATTTCCCCTTTTACCATAATTCCATGAAAATATCGTGTACACGGTCAATGAAAAATTAAATTCAGGGCTTTTGTCAATTTAGTGCCAAAAACATGTGACTTTAATGATATTAGACTGCGAACTATTTAAACAACTTAAGTTAATCACTGTAAACTATTTAGATGTACTTATGGCCCATAAACTGGTAGAAACTGTTTAAATTCTGCCACTATGAACTATAATAGTAGATTTTTCAAATTTCTCTTTGGTGGTAAACCATGATTCAAACTAATGTTTGTCTAATTTAATTGAAGTGACAAAAAAGTAGGTTGAAAATTTTGGTTAGCAAGTCCAATTATTAATAATATCATCCAAAATGCAAATATATTCATAATACTAAAGATCAGTTGTAACCTTTTTTTTTTTAAAAAAAAAGTATTAGTCAGTGTCTTATTGCTATATATATATATATATATATATATATATATATATATATATACACACACACACACACACACACATTGGAACAGTGGAAATTATATTTAACAAAAAAAAACTAGTTAAAGGCTAGCAAACACAAAATCAAGGTGGGATTGGATTTTGCAACTATGTAATCCAATTTATCCTAGCCTTAAAGTTTCATAAAGAAAACTAACGAAAAGAACGCTGAAAAAATATTATCAAAAATAGATTGTTTCATATACTCAGAAAGTCGGAATAAAACAACATTTTGATACGTCCAAATGACTTATAGCGTAATCATAAAAACCCACTCCACAGTCCTATTTACCATGCTGACAACTGGTCGAACATCTATCCGAGCTATAAAGTCTGACACCGACAAAAACCTGGAATTTGTAGGTCGAGCCATAAAGCTACACGTCCCCAAATTTGAATAGCCACCGAACATTAAAAAAACAAATGTGTAATATTCTCCAGCTCGAGCTGACAGATAGGGTAAAGAACTGAGTCCAACTTCACTCCCCTCTCCCCCAAATTAGGTCGGAGAGGAGTTCTATCTAACAAGAAGTGCCACATAAAGACATTAAACTTTATCAGGGACAAAACTATTTCATCTAGTACAATTGTTAATATTATCTACCATATTTTTCTCAGTGTACGACACTAGACAACCATTCATAAAGTGATAATGTATAGTGCAAATTATTCCTTATCAACTTCGTTGTTGAAAATATATGTTCCATGATAGATGTTGCAATAGATGTAATAAGTGTTAATTTTAATAGATGTATGAGTTTTCATAGTGTGTTTGTTTGTTTTCGTCATCATCTTTTATTAATGTTCAAATTCTCTTCAAATTGTTAGACTTTGCATCCCTACGAATATCCACAATATAATTTTTGAAGATTTACTTTAAGTGTTTCATAGTCACGTTTTATGAACTGTCAGGATAAAATTTAGTCATTTTGAGTAATCCATCCACTTTAGATGCTTGAAACTCCATAGAAACAAGTAATGTAACACCAGTGTTCTAGGTAATTTTATTAATGGCCCAATTTCCTTAAAAGTTGCAAAATTGGTCCCTACACTGAGCATACCGGTTGGGTATGTCGGGCATAGGACCTTAAGTGATTGCGGACCCCCACCCCCAATGTACGATAGGCGTACGTGTATGTACAATGGGCATACGCAAGTAGAGGGCAAACCCTAATTTTTGGGATTTGGACCCTATTTAAAGGACATTATGGACTTTAACCCTTTCCTACCTCCAACCTCCATCTCTCTTAGCCTCCATTTCAAAACCCTAATTGAGTGTGTGTGTGTGTGTGTGTATTGAGGCCTTAGAAATTCATTTTGGGTGTTCCTGGTGGTGAAGGAAGAATCTTGAAGTTATGATGTTTCACTCAAGCCTTTGGATCAAGCAATCACTCTCCCTTGTGCACCTTCTAGATGCATAAAGCCCCAACCTTGATGCATATTCCTTTGGATCTCGTTCAAGCTTAGATTTATACCTCTCTTGTCCCAAATCTTGACCCTTATGAGTATGGAATACTTCAGGGCCTTTAAGTTGTCATGTCAGTCGTTTTGGGGTGTTTAGTGTCATAAAAATGTAAGCTTGGACCTTAGTTTTCATCCATGCAAGTGCTAGGGAAGTTTAGTTGATAGTTTAAGTTAGGTTTGTGTTTTTAGCTTCCTTGTGCCATGCAAAGGCATAAAGGTTACAACTTTATGAATTCATACATTTATTGGATGTTAGATTTGAAGTTTATACGTAAGGTCTTAAGCCATTAAGACCATTATAGGGTTTTTGGGATCTGTCTAGTATGTTGGGCATAATCCAGGGTACGTTGGGCTTACCTGGTTGCGACCCCGTAAACCTTCTGAGGATGAGCTGTATGTTGGGCATAGCTCGGTGTATGTTGGGTGTATGCTCATGAAGCCTTTTGGGATGTTTTGAGACTTTGGGTCACTAGGGAGGTTTTGGGCTTGGTTGGTTGGGCCATGTGTGGAGGGGCAAAATGGTCTTTTTCCCTTGGTAGGATAAATTATGTTTTGGACCATTATTATGGGTTAAACCCATATTATTAACTAGGTTTATTATTGGGTTATGATTAACATGAGGAGTCATGTTAGCAACAGATCGAGTATTCGATACAGTTATCTTTTGTCAGAGGTGAGTCTTCTCACTGTATTCGTGGGTCGACAGCACCAATGTTGGCCCATTATTTTGTTATGTATAATGGTAGTTTTTATGTGACTTGTATATGTTTGCATGTTTGGGTTGAAATAAACCTCAGGGTTGGGCCCATATTTGTTGATCGGGTTGAAATAAACCCTAGGGGTGGGCCTATTATTGTATGATCATGTTGAAATAAACCTCAGGGTTGGGCCCATTATTGTGTGATCGGGTTGAAATAAACCCCAAGGTTGAGCCCATATTTGTTTGATCAGGTTGAAATAAACCCCAGGGATGGGCCTGTATATGTATATCAGATTGGAATATACCCCGGGGCTAGGCCTGGTTGTATGTTTGGTACGTGGTACTTTGGGGAACTCTAAGCCTTGTGCTTACAGTTTATGTTTATGGTTTCAGGTACTTCTGGTACGAAAGGGAAGGTCCCGTTGTGATGGCACATCATCCTACCCTCACGATTTCCGTACTTTTTGGTTATTTTTACTCTGATGTTTTGGATATATTGACCTGGAACTATTTGATGATTGAAACTATAGATTTTAAAACGAAAAATTTTTATCATAGTTTTTTGGGATGTTACAAGTAATGACATGTTTACTGTTCTTAAGCAATTATGTGGCATTGAAATTTATGTATCTATAAACGAATAAAATACATCAATGATGTGAATAGTTTTTTTGGAAACGACAAATTTGTTATAAACATGACCCCCAAAGCAAGAAGTTGTAGGATGCCAAGAACAAGAAACAAGAAGAGAAACAAAAACAAGAGATTACATGAAAGAAAATGGGGAAATAGTCCATTGCATCCAATTGCAAATACCACCTTACCCCTACACTTAATCCATAGATGCACCAAGGTCTTGATATTTTCAACCACCTTCGAAGGAGTGCAAGGTCTCGCTTGGAATATCATATCGTTCCTTGTTTTCCACAAGGGCCACCTTATATGACTATAAATCTTTTTTTTAAGACTCCTGTCCCACAAATTTGCAAAGTTAAGAAGATCACCAACACTTTGTACCTCTATATTATTTACCCCACACCACTTAAATTTTTTATTTTGGATTAGGTTTGCGAATGAACATCCAATTAAAATATAATTAGCACACTCTGTGTCATTAATGCTAGAGCCAAATAAACCTGAGTCTAGCGCAATCTCCCTG